CAACAAAATATAATGCCAAAGCAATATTCAGTAAAACACTATCCAAAGCACTAGACTTTCACTAATATATACAAGTCAAATGAACATGTCACGGAGAGAAGTATACAAAAAATAGAACAGTATTAATACCTACACAGTGAGTAACATCTTTGGCTTTTACATACGTGAGAACATGTCCCTGATTGGCAGCAATTTTTTTTCAAATTGGCACAAAATACATAAGAATATAAATCATTCAACAAAATATAATGCCAACGCAATATTCAGTAAAACACTATCCAAAGCACTAGACTTTCACTAATATATACAAGTCAAAAACATAAATGTCACAGAGAGAAGTATACAAAAAATAGAACAGTATTAATACCTACACAGTGAGTAACATCTTTGGCTTTTACATATGTGAGAACATGTCCCTGATTGGCAGCAATTTTTTTTCAACTTGGCACAAAATACATAAGAATATAAATCAAACTCACTTCATAAGAACTACATGTATATCAAAATACTACACTAACATGTCTAAACTAAAAGAAAAAGAGAACAATAACATGTCTAAACTAAAAGAAAAAGAGAACAATAAAAAATATACAACTGAACAGTCTTTGCCTCAATTTAATTATAAAAATGTTTTCCACTGGCTGCAATCCCTTTCAATCACTTGCCAGTCTCGATATTTAAGGAAGCTCTAAACACTGCACACTAAAGAGTTCTACTTATAGGGTAGTTTTATGCAGTTAGAGTGATCTGCTCTTAAAGGATAGAAAAAATGATTATTTACAGTTAATTGCACAATATGTAACAGATTAAAATATTCTCAGCATAATATTAGACAAAAAGTAAGAAATTTAATTCATTATTTCCATTAATTTTCCAAATGTAAGTAAACAACAGTGATTTCTGCTCACGAATAGTCCATTGTCTTTGAACATTTTTCCTGCAGAAATGAGGCAGGTACCCTATCTTTAAAATGACTAAATATTCTCAATATGCACACTTTTATATGATATATTTTTTTCTTAGTCCAAAAAGCACTTTTGTTTAGTGTTTAGAGCTTCCTTAAAACAAGCTCAGTTTAAAAGCACTGAATGAAATTCTCTTATGAAATCTTCTGGCAGAGAAATATTACAAGTATAAAAATTGTTAATATATACCGCACAGTTGGTAATATCCTTGACTTGACTAATTTGTGAACTGGCAGTAATTTCTATTAACTGACATAAAAAAATACACAGAATAATATATCAATAAAAACATAAATACCAGACAAAGTATCGATATGAATGAACAAGTCAAATTCTAGTAAGAGAAACTAATAGAAAGAAATGTTTATACACATCATATTAATGCTATCATTTACTAAACATATTTGTGAAGTGGCTTTTTAATGGTAGCAATTTCTCAACTTCACGTAAAATACATAAAATGTAAATCAAGCACACCTCAAAGAATATCAATTATTACCCAAACATGTCCAAGTTTGCCGACATACAAGTAATACAAGAAAATAAAACATAAAACATAGAGTATACAACAGAAATTGTTATCACACATGTATGAGGAAATTGGTCCCTGATTGGTAACTTTTTTTTCCATTTAGAAAAAATATATTTTGTTGAATGTATAAGCACTAAAATCAATCTATTTCAAATTTGTCATGTGTAAATTTAACAGCAGAACAAAATACACCAAAAATCCAAAGATTACAGGAAATGCTTGTTATTTGGTATATACATGAGCAATGTTAAGTCATCGCAATAAAAAAGATTTTTTTTCTGTACACAGTAGAAATCAGAATATGTCTGTGAATTTGAGCTGCAAAGAATGTAAAATCTTTGTTGGAGTACTGCTATAAGTTGGAAGATATTGAACATGTAAAATGCGATAAAAATATATACATAATGTCAAGTAATAGCTAAAAAAAGTAACTATTATGGTTTATCTGCACAGTTGAACACAACACCACATATGCCTGAGTAATAGCACATGAGAAATAGCAAAGTAGCATAAAAAAAGAGGATATGAACATTCATTCAAGCAGGCAAACATCTTTCAAGGAAACTGCTACAATTAAACATCATCAGAATTTGAACAGAGAAAAAAAACTCTGTGAACAGGTTTTCAAAAAATGATGAAACAATGCTCCATATACATTGAATATATACATGCTCTAAAAGGAATTGCCATAGAAATTCAGGAACAAGCTTACAACTGTGGTTAAATAAAAACTAATGCACTAGTCTTTTTGTATGAACTGGTTTTATGAAGGAAAATGTCAATGATTATATACAGTATAAAACAGTTTATCTGCAATATGGCAATACTGTTGAACTGTTTCACATGAAATATTTCTCAGTCAATTTATTTTGTTTACATTTAAGACAGAGCTAGCTTGTCATGTGTAGCACATGATGGCAGAGACAAAAAGCAGATAAAAAAAATTCTGCACTGTGAGACATTTTAACAATGAACACATTTGATATCATTTGTGGTGCAAAATTAATGAACAAGTTGTACATCCTATCAAAAATTGTTAAAAAAGAAAATGATAAACAGTGTTGAAAGATAAATAAAATGACAGTCACAAAGAACATGCTTCACTTTGTATGGCATATTGAAATCAAAAGGTAACAAATACACGACCACACAAAAACACATCAATGGTATATTTTAAATCAAACAAAAAGTTTGAGAAAAGCACAGGTTTAAGGCAAGCAAATGTATAAGGAAAATGCCTTATTTACATTATGCATAGTGATTTGTAGAATAAAAAAATCCACCTGTCCTCAACTACAATAACCAGTAAACAAATCCGTTGTCAAATAAAACCAACTCAAAATACATGGGAAATAATGAGGTAAAGGTCTTCATTATAAAAAAAAAATCCACCTCTGAACACTTCTAAGGCTGGTTTACCTATTTGAGGGAAGTCAAAATTCTGGTAGAATACATCCCCCTTTAAAAAATCAAATGAACTTCCTTATTAACTCTAGTACAAGTATCAAATGAAAGGCAATTAATGATAAGTTGTCCATGTGTTGTAAACAAATGAAAATACAGGGATACAGGAACATCAAAAAGTTACACAAGGGTTGGAAAAGGAAGATCTCTATGGATAGGACAGGGAACGCATTTATGTAGATTTACCGATGGAGATGATCTTTTCAACTGTCGAGTCTTTGAACACAAAACAGCAATGGAGTGGAAGCTTCTTCTCAATTTCACCTTCCAAGTCTTTGATGGGGCAATCTAAGGCTTTGGCCATCATACCAAGTGGCACATCATATTTTGCATAGTCATCTGGATTTCTGTTTTCTCAAATGCAATAGCAGAACCCTGCACTTTTGCAACTGGTGGCTCACACTCCTGAAACAATCAAGGATAATTTTGAATAAAAAGCAGGTCAATAAACACCAATTTATTAAAGAATATTGTGTAATCTTAAAAACAGTACAGCACAATATGAAAGAAAGAGGTAGTATCCTGTCACAGGGAATGAAAATCACTTTGTTGTAAGAGTTAATTCATTATAAGCATGTTCGCTATAAGTGTGTTTTACTGTATATAAATAACATTTTCATTATCATACATATGCCTTTGAAATGAGCTTATGTAGTTAAAATACCGTAAGAGTGCATTCTTACTTTAAGAACACTTTTTGAAGTTGTTGATACAGATATCTCTTCATTAAAGCTTGTAATGACAACATTGGTAATGGACAGGTACTTTCCCACAATGGATGAATCACTCAAGTCTCTCCACAGAGAGACTTTAATGGTGTCTGTTTCATCTTTTAAAGAAACAATCTTCACACAAACATCAACCCCCTTCACCTTCACAGTTTTCGTCATGTCCTCCTTAAATGAAAAAGCCAAAAAGACATAACAAGAGTATGCATATTTATAATATCACTTTTGTTGACAATATAATAGAAGAAGAATTTATCTAAGGATTAAATTATAGAAATGGAGGATCTGTATGCAACATTTCACAGCAATTTTGCATAGGAGTTGAAATAAAATGAATGAAAGAATGTAAAAACCTCTAAGAGTAATACAGAGGAAGTTGGAGTGATTCAAGTTTATACTTACAGACACAACTCTGCCCTTGACAGAGACCAGGGACTTTACAGGAGAGGTCTTTACATCCTTGATAGGACGGGTCAAAGCAGGTGGTGGATTCGCAATCCTATCAGCTTTCTCCATTAATCCATGTGGAACCTCCATGGCTCCTGTCTTCAAAACCTTTGTGTTCTTAGTGATGATAACTGTGGGTTCACTGTCATTTTTAAAGATATAGTTCATAACAATCACAGTGTTATCTGAACTCAGGGTCTTCAGTTTTGTGATGTCATACACAGTACCCTTCACGGCATCTGTGGGATCAGCCAGTCCAACTGTGACGTACTCCTTTTTTCCCCATTGTCTGTTTGATATTTCTGAATGGTTCCAACTACACACACCTTCACTTTAAGTGGTTGGGAGTAAGATTTATTTCCCTTGCTTTCTCTCAGTTTTGCTACTGTCAGCATCTGTAATTAAAAAATGCACGAATTTGTTTATGTTACAGGAAGTCCTCATCCCATATCTTACTTTAATTTTTAATGAATTCTAAATATTCTTAATGTTCAATTTTTTGAAAGAAAGAAAAAATTACCCTAAATATTGCTGTCATAAAAATTTAAGTGGATGTGAAAAAGTTGTATGAAGAGTGAACCATTACTATGATCTTCAAGCTTAAGTAAATACAGCTAAACTAATACTGTCTATTCATATGACAATATAATAATGTGTAAGCATCCCAAGTCTGTGCCCATCCTTAAACGAGAATCACTTAAATAGAGTGTTAGCATTCTAATCAGGGTGGGTAGTTTAAGACTTAATCAGTGCATAACATGGACAAGTTTCTAAGAACTTGAAATATTTATTTCAATGCAATATACAGGGGCTTATGATCTGAAAAGTAAGCCTCAAGTGTCCCCCAACTTTGAATATGAGATTCTAGAACGTTTGTATATATGTGATCAAGTGCAGATCCATAGTCAGTTGTAGATCCTGTTGGCAGGTATTGAGATTAAATTCAGACATAAATTTGATGATATTACCTGTTTGTGGTGATAGATTGTCAATATTGAAGTCCCCAGTCAATACTACAGGATCAGAATCTATTAAACAGTCTTGAAACATATTGCGAAGCATGTTTTTCACTGTTGTCAAATCTGTCTTTGGTGGAATATACAAGAACAAAAATAACATTGACTTTCCACTGTGAATTTCAATATCCAAGGAAAAGAATTGAACATTCTGTTCTCTTCTTTTGATGATTTTCTTTACAGTTAATGATTCCTTAACATAAAAAGCAAGACCATATGATGGCCGTTGGGTGCAATGTTGTGGAGAGTCAAACCTATACATTGTATATCCTGGCATAGAAAATGTCTCAGCATCATCAGTTTCAATAAGTCTTGTCTCAGATATTGCTAATACATCTGAAGCCATAAGGTTGACATCCTTTTCCAAATCCTCCTTGTGCTTATGAAGCGATCTTATGTTAAATGATGTTAAAACTGTAGTATGAGGGTCCTTTTCTCCTAAATTGTCAATGCACACTTTCATCTTTCCCTCATTTCTAAGCCTGTTCATCTCTTCCAACACAGCTGGTGACAGTGATATTTTTTTTTCATTCAAATAGGTGATGTGTAAGTTCTCAATATGGGTAACCCTACTGAGTCCCACATAATGCATATGGTCATTTTTTCTAGTTCCAAAATTTATAACCGCTGATTTCATAGTTGAGCCTTGCGCTTTGTGAATAGATTTGGCAGCTCCTAACCTTAAAGGAAACTGTCTTCATTTTACATGATATGTACCATTCATCTGAATTTTAAACTGCCTTGTTATTTCTAATATTGGTGTCCAAGTTTTCTCAATTTCACTTTTGAATAGCCTTGCATATTCCTTGCGCAACTCCTTCCCAATGTTGTCATCATCAAATTGCACCCAAATAATGCTACACCTTGTTGATCCTTCAACACGATAATCAAAGAGTTTTACTGTGCATGACGCACCATTTGTGATTCCATCTTGAACATTAACATTACTGGTTATTTCAGCTGGAACTCCAATTACCAAGCACAATATGGATGATAACCCAAGTGTTCTGGCACAATCATCAGGGACTCTTGCTAACACTTTTGATTTTACAGCTTCTTCAGATGCTCCAATAACCCAGTCAATAGCATTTATACTAACTTTCTGTGAATCATCTGCCATATCATAAATCTTGTTATTGTAAGACTGTACTTCATTTCTTGTGGTAAACAAATGGGGTATATTTGTAATATCCGGAGTCTCTGCCTTCACACATTGACATAGTACACTGATGTCTTGTTCGGTTTGATTTCCTTCTCGCAATCTGTTCAGTAATTTAGCAAATGTCCTGTCATCCCTTTGGCGCACAATTATGGTTAATTCAAACAGTTTGAAGTTGTCTCTCCACAAATTTGCTGCTAATGGACCATACTATTTATTAGGCTTGTTAAAAAATCCAACCATCCATGACAGGTTTTAGCTGAAACAAATCGCCTACTGCAACAACATTAACTCCTCCAAAAGGCAATGTGCATCCTTTTATTTCTTGCAGTCTAAGGTTCACAAAATTAAACATGCCATGACCTACCATGGAAATTTCATCTATGAAAATTACTTTTAGGTTCATGTATCGAGTACGCATTACATTTAATTGTTGCATGTCTAATGGTTTGTAAGCAAATCCCCTACCGACTGGAATGCAGAATGCTGCATGAATTGTAGAGTCATTTATGTTATGAGCTGCCTTTCCAGTTGGTGCACAGAGAAGAACATGCAAATTGTCCGGATTTTCATGAACTTGGTGAGAGTAGAATTTTAGCAATGCCTGATAAAGGGCTCTTGTAAGTACACTTTTTCCAACTCCTGCTCCACCAGACAAGAAAGCATACAAAGGCTCTTTCTTAGTTTTCAACCAGTGTAACACATGATTAAAGAATTCCCTTTGCTGTTGATTAAGGCCTCTTAACATTTCTCTGTATGGAATATCCTCCATTTCCCCCATTTGGGATATCTCCTCATCAAGTTGTTTTCGTTGAATTCCAAGCTCAAGGCCTATGTCATAATCTGGTGCATGTTTACCAGGATCAAAACAACCCCACTTTCTTGAGAGTGTTGATCCTTCTTCTCTGTCTATTTCTTCCTCATGTTCATTTCCTGGAGCAATAAAATCTGCACACAAATCCTCTGCATCTACATTAAAAAGCACATTTTCCATATCATTCAAAGCCTTTCCCCCTTGCTGATATTCAGAAAGCTTCTGTTGAATTTAAAATTCACAAGACTTGTGTCTCGCTTCAAAAGACTGAAATTTATTGATCAAATCTTTTTCTTCATTTCTCCATGGAGTAAATAACATCAGAAGTTCACGATAATGTTTCTCGCTGTCTGTTTCAATATCGAAATTTACCCATCTTAAAACCATAGGCTTTTTTCTTTTGACAATTTCTGTGCCATTCCTGAACATGTAACTTTGAGCAAATTCACAGGAATCTATTGTGACAGATATTGCATCGTCTGAAATTTCTTCCTCTGGCTCATTTTCAGGCAACTCCTCTGAAGTGTTCTGTTTGGTGTTTTCCTTGTGATACTTTACTTGAAACCAAGACACAAAATCAGCAAGACAGATTCCTTCAAGAGCTTTTGGTCGTTGTTGATACAGTCTTGTGATATTGCCAGCTTCAATATCTGTACTGCTTTCTTTCAGTTCTTCTAAAACATGTCTAGGTTTCAATAAAACAACACGCTCATCTATTGGAGCAGTATTAATAAAAGTCACAGACCTTGATGTATGCCGCAGTTGGATTTGAAGTACGAGGTATACTGCTTCTTAAGCACCTATCTCAACATGAGAAAGAAACTTGTTCCCTATGCGTCTCACTTGTTGGCGAATATCAGAGTCATTCTGTCTTGCTTCTTCACAGGCATGTCGCAGCAAGTTGGACATTCCTCTCTGACCTTTAGAAATGTAGGACACTATGTAAGTAGCACAAGCATATGCATCCAAAATAAATTGAATGTCCATATTTGCTTGCCAGCTCTGTAGTAGAACATTATTGTAAGCATTAATTCTCACTTCATTAGGATTTCGCTTCAAGAAAACTTTTTCTTGTTTCAAAGTTGACCTCACTGCCCTGATGTAGCACTCCACATTCATTTGCAATTCTAATAAAATGTCTTGAAATGTCATTTCAATTTCAGACTCTCTAAACTTTGATGAATTAAGGTAATCTACAATTTTCTGGTAAGACATCACAGCTGTTGAGCAGTGTTCATCATCATCATCTAGAGGTGCAAGAACAACAGTTTGAGGCATTGGCGGTATGGGAAAATGAAATCTACATATTGGTTTATTCTTTTTCATACAAGTCCTTGCATGACGATGTGTCTGGTAATTTATCAGGAAATCATCTGCCCCATGCTTTTCACAAATTGCATACTTGTCAATGAACTGAGCTACTTCTTCGTATGAGTGAGTTTGAACAGATGGAGCATCTTTGATCCACAGAAGCATATGCACGTGAGGAGAGCCCTTCTGCTGGAACTCAATCCTGTAGAAAAAATCTTCAATAAAGCCTACAGGGTTTGTTTTGTGACTCAATACCTCTGCAAAGAATTTGTTAAATCTGAAGTCGAAATATCTTGCACAAGTTACTGGGTCAGACTTTATGAGTTTACTTTTGTGTTCCCAGCTCATGTTCCTGATTTCCTCTTCGGTGTAGGTCACATTATCAATAAGCTCTCCCAGTGTTTTAAGTAACGGTGTCCATTTTGTTTCCGCTGCAGAAAATGAACAGAACCAAGTGGGTAAACCCAGCTGCCTGATCATAGCGAAAATGTCCTTTTTTGCTTTTTCCCAGTAAGGGGGTGATCCTCGTAGATTTCTGAGAACATGAAATCCTTCATTTAGTCGAACAATAGAGTCCGCAGTCTGGGAGTCAAGTATTTGTGCAGCAGTGTATTTTTTACCCTGTAGTTTGCATTTCCGCATAGCAAGCATGACTTTGTCCTGGATTTGCTTAATTTGTATTCTTTTCAACTTGTAAAATAGATTTGGTATACACTGTGCACATCTCCTATCCACATTTCTTAACTCCCATTTGCAAATAGTACTGTAATGCAAAGGAACAGTTCTTAATTTGTTGTCTGGTCTTGCTTCACCACAATAGATGGTAGGAAATGCTAAAAATTCTGCATTTTTATCTTGAAATATACTAAGAGGGCTAAAGTTTTCACCAGGGGCAACACTCAAAACCTGATTAAATTCTCGGAAGTCAATACTTTGCATTAGAGTGTCCATATTGCCGGTCGGCCTATCATCCATACTACCTTCCTCTGTCCAAGCTTCTGTGATGGTTTCTTCCACTGAATTTGTAATCGATGTCGAATTTAATTCATTTTCATCATCTGATTCATCATCTTGGCAATCCCAGGATTCATTCAATTCTATACCTTCTGCTTTAAATAAAGTACTATTCTGTATCAACCATTGGGTTGCTGCGAGGACTTTGTTTGGGCGTATTCTTTCAAAAACCATAGAATGCTTAAAACTCATACTCCGCTTGAACTTCAAAGGTATAGTTTCATTTTCACTCAGAAGTCGAGGCAATTTTTTAACTGTAGAAGTTACATCAGCAGGAACGTTCACAACATTTCCTGTGATACTCATTTGGCCACCCCGAGGCTTTTCCCTTAACTGCATAAATGGGATTCTGGGTGCAATGAGCCTCTCTTCGAGGGGATTAATGTTCAACTCTTGTGGCTTGGAGGGGAATTTTAAACCATTTATGAATGAACAAGGTGGAACTTTCTCGGCTTTTAAATATGTGTGACAGGTGTTACAAATAATGTCCTGCTTTTGGAAGCCATGCTGATGCAAGAAATCTTCACTTATTCCTGTTGCTTTCCTGACCGAGTGTTTAAACCAAATCTGAGAACAACTTTTACATACAAAAGATGGACCTGTATTAACAGATGAATGAAATCGCTTTATCACTTCCTCTTGTCTGTCAGATAAGTTAATACTGTTGTTCTGAGATTGAGTCATTCCTGTACAACATGTTTGGCACCCACTCAATGGTTGGATACTATTCATTGTTAAACAACATCTATCTTCAACTTGTCGTTGGACATATCTTTGAACAAGAGGCATCATTTCTACATTTGCAATTGAAACTGTATACAATTCAAATGCACCTTCCTCACACCCAGAGAGCTTTCTCAAAAGAGCTTGTAAATTTGAAAAACCGTTGACTGTCAACAAAACAGAGTTACCATCTGCATCAACATTTCCATTAGCATCACGTGCATGTGGATCAAAAACCTGGAAACGACTGCCCGAGGAGAATACAGCAACAGAACTGCCACTGCATATAAATACACCTCCATCTTTGGTATTTGCAAAGCATAAATTCAATGCAGTAGCAAGTGAGAAGAAAGGACCATTATCTCTAAAAGTAGCTTGTATTTCCCCTGAATAAACTGGTGAAGTAGTTACATGAAGCAATTGATTTTGAATGCAAACATTTTTAGGTATGTCCTCTGGGTTAAGATATTCATGTGGACATGTCTTTCTTGAATGCTTGTACAAAATGTCACCTTTTTCGAGTACAAAATGAATATCATTTGCATCCCAATTTTCAATTTTTTTTTTATTAATTGCACTCAATGCAATGCAAACAAGAGAATTAGCTATGCATTGTTTACCTCTGCTATATTCCGAGAAAAAATCTGATCCTTGATGAAAATTAGCAGACACACATTTAAAAATTACGGGATATTTTCTTGCATCATGTCTCCGTCTTTTCTTGACAGATTTTGGGCTCTCTGTTTGATTACTATCTGAATCATGAAATTTTCTTTTCTTGCTACACTTCATATCTGATGACAACGATATTAAAGCATTTCAAATGAGTGCTCATTTCATGTATTCAATACCTGATTTTTTTCTCTGATCATATTTCAGTTGAAATTCTTTTCTTAGATTAGTTTTGATTTGTTATCATAACAATGACAGTTCTTTGCAAATTCTTTGACCATTACAAAGTTCCCTTTTCACTGCGATAGCTTCTTATCAATTAGATAGAAATAAATTTGCATTCAGTTAGCAAGTTGTAGTTTCTAATTATTTACATGCAAGTCTCTGATAAGAGTAAATGACAAATTATTTTGCTAAAAGAACAAGCTGAAAAAAGCCAATTGTTCCATTGAACTTTCTTCTTATTTAAAATTCAGAATTTTCTTCATAAATAAAAAAAATGTAGCAATATTGCTCACAGTTCCCTTTATATTATTTCATAATAATAATTTTGTTCATTTGTACTCCACGTCAAATAAATCGTTCCAAGAAAATTTCCACACTTGAAATATATCAACTCTTGATACAAATCTCAACTCTTGAGAAAGTTCATGTGTCAAGGCAATGAAATCCTGATATCCAAAATAATATTTCCAAATACCAATCGTGTTCCCCTCTTGAATTAGCAATTGATTTACAAATACCAGTTCATAACTTAATTACAGTTCCCCTTATATTATTTCATAATAATAATTTTGTTCATATTATGTACTCCACGTCAAATAAATCGTTCCAAGAAAATTTCTACACTTGAAATATATCAACTCTTGATACAAATCTCAACTCTTGAGAAAGTTCATGTGTCAAGGCAATGAAATCCTGATATCCAAAATAATATTTCCAAATACCAATCGTGTTCCCCTCTTGAATTAGCAATTGATTTACAAATACCAGTTCATAACTTAATTTTGATCCAAATGTCAATTCTTGAGTTAATTAATTCACGTTATGTGTCAAAGCAATGTATTCTTGATTTCAAAATACTTTCTCCAAATAGCAATCGAGTTCTACTCTTGAATTAGCAGTAGATTTACAAACACAAATTCATATTTATTTCTTGATGTATGCTAACAGTTACGGACTTGGCTATGAAAGAACGCAGGAAATGGCGCTCGCCACCTTCGATGGGAGACTATAGATGTTCACATTCACTTTCGGCATTAAAACATAATTAACTGTACTAAAAAGCAATACTTGGGTATGGTTGTGTACAACAAACACATTGGATCTTAAATAATTACCTTGAGATAATTTGTTGACAGAATATATCAGTTCTTTCAGGCACGATGTTCTACGATGATCTTCTCCTTGTTGATAAACAAGATAGCGTGGCGCGTATGGATACAGAGAAATAGTGCGCTCCATCGTATCAAAATTGTAAATACACAAATTTTTTGCTTGAGAAATATTACTTTTCACAAATTTGGAATTAATGTTTAATCTGATATAAAATTGCTTTTAGATATAACTGTTCTTAAGCATGGAACATGGTAAAAATGTGAACTATTTTTTGATAGGAGATAAATTGCCTAATTAGCATAATTTTCAGACAGCGATGAGACTACTGCGATTCTCTGTTACCCACAATTCCCCAAAAGTAGATCATGACTTCTCCTGTCAAAGTTAGACTGGCCTGCCTGTCTGATATGCGAATAAACAATTGATTCTAAATTTTCAGGCGTACTGCTGTTTATAATTGGGACATTAACAGATCAGTAAGCTCCTATCACATTACATGACCTACATTAATCAGCAGATCGCATTATTGTATGATTATTTCCCATGCTGTATCGTCGAGCAGCGGCGATAGATGGCGCTTCACTCAAGCCAGGAATCCCTGGCTTCAATGGCGGTGATCACCTGCCTCTTTCGTACGATAGAAAATGCGAATGAATACGACATCAGAGGTTTTCTTTTGTACAATCCATTTCTGCTTTTTTATAGATGGTGGGTTAAAACGTTGACAAATAAAAAATAATTGTGATCTTCTCTACGAACCCAAACACCAGTCTGAGATTTCTTCTGAGTTGTGGACTTTGTTTTATATCGAAAGGTTAAAAGTTAAGATTTCATAAATTCTTCTTAAACTCGATTATTTTTGAGTGAACAGATATGGATCCTATATCATTTTCAAAGTGAATTGGAACAGCTTTTACACTGCATTAGCATATCTGGCGAAAAATTTCTTACATTGAAAAACAGAATGATTTTGTAAATGGTAGTGATTACAAATGGGCGCCATTGAACTGCAGGCTGACATACGAGGCTGACTTACGTCACCTCGAAAAACTGACGTCGATTATTTGAAATGCTTTATACTTACAGCTTTTTTGAATGACCTGTAAATGACTTTGTTGACAGACTTTGGAATGTTAGAATGAGAACACAGGTGAGACTAAACGAGATCTGTAATTGACTTCCTGTTTAGAGATAAATATAGGTATCGATTTAAATACTGCCCTACTCAAATATACTGAGTATATGCATAGGCACTTCTTTCTTATACGGGTCACCAACTATTTATGGTGGGTGCCCCGTATACGAAACAAGTGCCTGTGGCATATTGATAATAAATAATCGTATGTTCATGATAATTATGTATTTACTGTGAACATATAATTCAGAATCCTTTAACACAAAATTGAGAGATAATTTTTGCAACTGAAATTATTTTCACATGCACCTGATGAATGGGACGTTAACCCCCACCCCCTTCTGAAAATTTAGACATACATGTATTCACGATTACGCATCAAAAATACATTAATTCCTACTAGCATGTCGTACCATATTCCGATATCTAAAATCATTTTCCGTTTTTGTTAAGTACCATTTTATATACCACAGGCACCTGACGAATGGCACATATAGGTGTAACGTAAGAGACTTGCTGATCTACATCTCCCTGAACTGTCTCTTGCATAAATTTTAGTGGTAATGCTGTATCAACGTTGAAAATCTCCCTATAAGCGGGGCATTCTGTGTGTTTACAAGACCTTTAGTATTTTTATATACGGCGGAGGGGCAATCCACCCGAGTCAAAAAATTTCCAACCCAGAAATTTCTTCTTGACAAGCGAAAAACCAAACCAAACAAAAAACCAAATGCACGTCCCCAGACATGAAAACCTTATTTGTAGCGAAGGGGGGGGGGGGGGTCAAGAGCCATTTTTTATTTGCTGAAGTATAAACATTTAATAACTCTGCAAATTCAAGTGGGTATAGACCCCCCTCTAGATCCGCGCATGGGATTCGTGTAATTGGTTATCAAGGGTAAAGAGAACAATTATCTAAGATTAAAAAAAAACTTCAATAAATGGCTAATTGAGCCCCAAACTCGGGTCTGAAGCTTGAACCTATGGGTCATCAAATTCAGTTTCTGTAAAAGATATACTGCTCCTACTCAAAATACCAACAGTTTTACTGTTTGTTTTCAGGAAGTAAGAAGACTTTTGAAGATTGTATTAATTTTGATTGTTTTGGCCCCTTCCCTCAGGCCCCAAGGAGGCTGAGACTATGGAATTCATGATTTCTGTTCCCTCCATTAAGCATAGGTGTTATACACCTGAATTGGTCTAGATTAAATGCTTCTCATCAGCCTTTCCAGAGATGATGATAATATTCAAAAGCAGATGATACAAAATGCAGGACTAGGGATGAAAACAAAGAGTAATAGGTCATCTTTGTGACTCAGGTGACCAAGGAGTATCAATAATAATTCATTGTTTACATTATGAGTGTCACATTTGACCAAATGACCGAACAATCCATTAGTGTTCTTCTTCTACATCAACCAGGAATATGTACTCCATATATGGTAAATATGCAGTCTGTAATTTGAAACATTGTAAATATTGCATCAAATCAAAGACGATAAAAGGACAGAGTGACTTACATTTTAGCATGTGTCCTCATAATAAATCATAAATGCTGAGTAAAATAACAACTCAAAATGTGGGTGCTTTGTGTGCTTTTTCATAGTAAGCATGGGTTGTTCTTTCATTAGTAACAATCTACTATTCATAAAATAAATCACCAATTAACATCAAAGTTTATTAATTTACCTTTAAGTCAATATAAAAAAGTCTGGAGACAATTTTAAATCAAAATTTTAAGCTAGTCTGTCTTTTCTAGTGCTTTCATTCTATCTAACAGAGGAGGGTGTGAGAAGTTAAACATGGAGTACAGCCA